GAAAAAAGTGCAACAATGAATGAATGGAAATCCAAAATCTCTGTAAATGTTCATTAAAATTATTAAAATAAAAAAATTAAAAAGAAGAAGATATCACAGTTGGTCATGCACTGTGCTGTCTTCATACAGCAAACTTCATTTTGTATAGTACATACAAAATTTGCTGCGTAGTCTTCTCTGACTTAGATAGTACTTTGTATAGAATCCTTGCGTATTGAATAAGAACTGGTCCGGCTCCTTTTTGCTCTAAAGCGAGCTGTGTGGTGGTGGTTGTGTGCCATCAAGTTAGAACCAATTTATAGCTAATCCTCCAGTTAGTTTTCAGAACCTATCTATTGCACTGGAGGAAATTGTTCATCTTTCTCCTGAGGAACAGTTGGTAGATTCAAACCTCCATTCCTCTGTGTTAGCAGCACAACTCCTTACCCACTGGGCCACCAGAGCTCTATGGGGAGACCTGTGGTAGGAGGCACACAGTGGGACTGACATTCATTTTTTATCATTTTTTTATTAATTTTAATGCAAATTTACAGAGACTTTGGATTTCCATTCACTCACTGTTGCACTTTTCTCCCTGCCCACCACTCCCCCACCAAGTGACATTCTTTTTTAACAGTAATATGACTTCCTATTTCTTGTACAAGTAGCTTTCACATCTTTAATTTAATTATATTAATTTTAATGAACATTTACAGAGATTTGGGATTTCCATTCATTCATTGTTGCACTTTTCTCCCTGCCCACCCCTCCCCACCAGTTTGCTCCTCTCTTTGAAAAGTAAAATTCTTTCATTGCTAAATCCCCCCACAACCCCCCTATCACCCCGAGTACACTCCTCTATGCAACCTTAATTCTGGACTCTTGTGAGAACCATCGTACCCTATCATATATCACTTTTAAATTGTTCTCTCCTTCATCTGTTTCAATGCAGTATACATAATTTATCCAGGTTTTCTCAGTCTTACGCCAACCTTGATGTCAGTCCCATTCTACAACAGTGGCACCTTGAAGTATTTGTCCTTTTGTGACTGAGATATTTCACTCAGCATAATGTCCTCCAGGGTCACCCATTTTGAATAATATTGCATGAGTTCCTTGTTTTCCCATGCAGCGTAGGATTCCATTGTGTGAATATACCACAGATTCTCTATCCATTCATTTGTTGATGGGCACTTGGGTTGTTTCCAACTCGTTGCTATTGTCAACAAAGCCGCAATAAACATGGGTGTGCATCTATCTGCTTAGATGCCGGTTATGGTCTCTTTGGGGTATATTCCCAGTAGTGAAATTTCTGGGTCAAATGGTATCTCTATTTGCAACTTTTTTTTAATTTTTATAGTCTATAATTATTTTTAATATAAGCTAAAATTGACTATGCTCTTTTCTTTTTTGTGTGTGTACCATCAAATCAGATTTGACTGGTACTGGATGAGATTGTTCCTCCTTCTCCAACAAAGCATCTGGTGGATTTGAACCACTCACCTCTAGGATTGCAGTGCAGCTTCTTGCCACTAGGCCACCAGAGCTCGCTTATTTGCAACTTTTTGAGAAAGTGCCACACCACTTTCCACAGTGGTTACACCATTTTACACTTCCACCAACAGTGAATAAGGATTCCAGTTTCTCCACAACTTTGCCAGCATTTGTTGCTTGCTGTTCGGTTAAATTTTGCTATTCTTACTGGAGTTAGGTGAATCTCATAGTTGTTTTGATTTGCATCTCTCTTGGAGCTAGGGATTTTGTGCTAGGGACTTCTTCATGTTCTTGGCCATCTGAATGTCTTCTTTGGTGAAGTGTCTGTTCATATCCTGTGCCCAATTTTCTATTAGGTTATTTACCTTTATCTTGTTGTGGTGCTCAAGTATTTTATAAATTCTAGATATAAGTCCCTCATCTGACATGTCATTATCAAACACTTTTTCCCAGTCTGTGGCTTTCCTTTTTACCCTGTTGGAGAAGTTTTTTGGATACGCATAGGGATTTGATTCTTAGAAGGTCCCATTCATCTATTTTATCTTCTCCTGGTTGTAGATAGCTTTCACATCTTTAAGAAAATTACTTGGGAGACCTAAGAACCCTCCAGGTATAGAAGCAAGGTTAGAGGCATATCAACATGTGGGGAGAAGCTAATTCATGTGGGTGCCTGGGAACAGAAGGCTCCTCCCTCCAGTTGGTACAGACTTGACTGCTCACAAGGGATAGGGCCATTCAGAGAATTATGTTCACTCAGTGCCTATCATGATCAGCTGACTGACTGTTTAAGAAATCTTTCAATCCAAGTCGCACCCCTGCTCCTTTCCTCTGCATCCACAGGGGACACTCTGAGGCTCCGAACAATCCTGGAAGCAATACAGAAGCACATCCATTCGTCCTCCCTCATCTTCAAGCTGGCCCAAGATGCGTTCAAGATTGCTACTCCCACGGACAGCAGTACTGACAGCACATTACTCAATGTGGCCCTGGAGCTAGGGTTACAGGTATGGGGAAGGAGTTGGCCAGCCCTGGTTAGCCCTCTCACCAAATGACATTTGACAAAAGATGAGATCTGAGATCTTAAGTGGACTGAGCACAGACATGCCTTGTGGTTTCTATTGTAGGACACAAACTCTAGGCTGGGTCCTTAGGTAAAGGCTCCATCCATTGGGCTCCATTTTGACCCTAAGATCAGAAGCAAGGGAGCTCTGTTGGCCTAGTGGCAAGAAGCTGCACTGCAATCCCCGAGGCTAACAGTTCAAATTCACCAGATGCTCTGCTGGAGAAGGAGGGGCAGTCTTCTCCTGTACCAGTCAGATCAGATTTGACGGTACACACACACACACACACACACACACAAAACAAACAAACAAACAACCAGAAGCAGTGTCTCTTCAGGCTCCATGTTGTACCCATCCTTACCCTGCTCCCCTTAACCCCTCCATGTCAAACAAAGTAATAAGGTCTTAATTCTCTATCCATCACCAGGCAACCCTCCAATCTGATGGTGGGAGGGGGTGAGCAGGGTTTAAACAGACTTGTCTGTACTTACCAGGGGAGAATCAGCTACTTAAATAACCAAGGATTTCTTGAATAAGAATGAAAAGGAGCAATGGGGAGATGCCACCAGTAAGACTCAGCCCACTGGAAAGGTTTCTTTTGCTCCCAGGTGATGCGGATGACCTTATCAACCCTTAACTGGCGGCGCCGAGAGATGGTGCGGTGGTTGGTGACGTGTGCTACAGAAGTGGGTGAGTCTCCCACCTCCCTCTAACCACAGGGCTAAGGAGTGTCTTGACCCTACTCTTGAAATAGGACAGTGAGTTCTTAGAGCCCTTAGATACCTATTACTGACGGCCTGGGAAAGGATGGGGCTGCTAGAAGGACACAGCCTCTGTCAGCCACCCCAGGTCTGCCCTCACGGCTTGCTTGGACCACACCCTGATTCCAGCAGCACTCTGGTCAGAGACATGTCTGAGAGAATGAGTTCTCAGCCCCCACCGCAACCCCCCAGTGCTCAAGTGCTCTCTTGAGAAGTGGTTTGGTCCCAGCCCCTGCTCATGCTTCTGAGAAACCCCAAACAACTTGGAGGCCGAGGTCCCTAGAGCCCAAAGTCTGAGCACAAGACCCTGCCCTACTTCAGGTAGAAGCCCCAGGTAGACCTGGGACACCTGCCAGAGGGCAGGCACACAGGCTCTGCTACTCCTTCCTTGTGAGGGGCTAAGAGTGCCTGCAAAGACTTCCAACCTTCTGACCTGGGAAAGGGCTGGGACGAGGCTGGGTCTAGCCATCCAGGATGTTCCCCTTCCCCCTATTTGTCTCAGTCCACCTCAAGGCTGCTGAGGAGGGAGAGCTCCTCTCTGCAGGCCAGGTTCTGACCCTGAGTGGTAACCTGGGCAGACCTGGTTCCTCCCGGATGGCCACGGCTGAGTTCGGGCTCTCCCTGGCAGGTGTGCGGGCCCTGGTGAGCATCTTGCAGAGCTGGTACACGCTCTTCACGCCCACGGAGGCCACTAGCATTGTGGCTGCCACGGCTGTGTCCCACACCACCATCCTGCGCCTCAGCCTCGACTACCCGCAGCGGGAGGAGCTGGCGAGCTGTGCCCGCACCCTGGCCCTGCAGTGCGCTATGAAGGATCCACAAAGCTGTGCCCTATCGGCCCTCACGCTCTGTGAGAAAGACCACATCGCCTTCGAGGCCGCCTACCAGATTGCCATTGATGCTGCTGCTGGTGGGATGACCCATTCGCAGCTGTTCACTATCGCTCGCTACATGGAGCTCCGTGGCTACCCGCTACGTGCCTTCAAGCTGGCCTCCCTGGCCATGAGCCATCTCAACTTGGCCTATAACCAGGACACCCACCCAGCCATCAACGATGTGCTCTGGGCGTGCGCTCTAAGCCACTCTCTGGGCAAGAACGAGCTGGCGGCTCTCATCCCGTTGGTGGTGAAGAGCGTGCACTGCGCCACGGTGCTTTCAGACATCCTGCGGCGCTGCACGGTGACCGCGCCCGGCCTGGCGGGCATCCCAGGACGCCGCAGCTCTGGAAAGCTCATGTCCACGGACAAAGCCCCACTGCGCCAGCTGCTGGATGCCACCATCAACGCCTACATCAACACCACACACTCGCGCCTGACACACATCAGCCCCCGCCACTACGGAGAGTTCATTGAGTTTCTGAGCAAGGCGCGGGAGACCTTCCTCCTGCCCCAGGATGGCCACCTGCAGTTTGCCCAGTTCATCGACAACCTCAAACAGATCTACAAAGGCAAGAAGAAGCTGATGCTGCTGGTGCGGGAGCGCTTTGGCTGAGAAAGCAGACAGCTCACCATCAGGGCAGGCTGGGCTCCCAGGTTCTATCAGGTCAGGCCAGGGACATTGAAACATTTGTCTCCACCGAGAGGACTCTGAGAGCCTGTGGCTGAAACCAAAGGACCACGGGGCTCAGGATGGGGAGAGTCTAACTCTGGCCCTTACGCCTGCCTTGGCATAATTCTCACGACAGCCCACCATTCCTGGAGGAGCTGAGCCCTGCAGATTGATCAGAACCCCACAACATGCCACCTCGCATCCCTATAGCCTGCATCTCTTGGGCATTAGCCCCCTCCCCTGGCAAACACAGAACACTGTTCCGTCTCAGGGATTGCTTAACCAGAGAAACAGAAGCATTTATGGTACTGTAAATACTAAAGTATATGTGTTGCCAATGACATTGTAAAGTTGTAACTATTTATAATTCTGGTTCTAATTTGATGGGCACTTGAAGTAGTTTGGGTGGGAGGATAGGATGGTTGAAAGGAAATCTTTTGTTTTCTGAGGAGACTCACAACCATTTCTCAGGTTTCCCTTGTAGAGTGTTATGCTGTTGGCAGTGGAAGAGGGTGGTGTGGCAGGGAGAAAAATGGCCAGTTGGAATAATTCCCAAGTCTTGTCTATGCAGAAACATTAGCCTGCAGACAGGGCATGTGTAGCTCCGATGAGGGTGAGGAGCAGAGGCCAGGACTTTGACTCTTGCCTCATGATGCTGAGGACACTGAAGCACCTGCTCCTGCTCCTGCCTGACGTAGCCTTTCAAGAGCCTGTCGAGCTCCTGGGAGCAAGTGCAGAGAGAAAACAGGGGTCTGGGGTCTGGAGAGCCACTGAGCTCACGATACACATCTGCACTGGTCATCTTTAAGAATAACTTGCTGTTTCATCTCTAATTATGTGTGTGTCTGTGTAGCTAAATACATGCATCCATGCGTGTATATCTGTGCATGTTTGTATGTGCACATACACATGCGAACTGGCACAAGTTCTTCATGTGTTTGTACACATGTGTGAATGCATGTGTGCCAGGCTGTGTGAGGAGGTACACATTTGCATGCATGCGTGAATCTGTGTGTTAAGTGTTTTCATGCTTATATAAGTATTAGTGTGTACATATCTGCACACATAAGTGCATATGTATAAACATGTTTATGCCTGGGTTTTTGCTATTCATGGCTCTTTGTTATTCTGTGTGTATATCTCTACATGTAGATGTCTGTCTGTATGTCTGCAGTTGTGTGTGTGTGTACCTGTATGTCTACATGTAGATATGTCTGAGATCTGCATGAATGTGTCCCTTCTCTTTGCCAGATCTCTCTTCCTCATTCCTGTCTCACCAGCTACACATGTTCCACCTCTGTATCTCCTCTGTTCACCATTCTCTTTCACCACGTAAACTTCCAAGCACCAGTCTATCTCTCTGCCCTAAAATTGGCTGCTTGAGCTCCACAGTTCTTCTGCCACTCCCTGCTTGCTTTTCTTCCCCTGCCTTTCTACCTCAAGCTTCCTCTGCCTGCTTTTTCACTGTCTCCCTGGTCACTGGTTTGGAGACTGGGGCTACAGTGCGTCTGACTTTTCCCTTCCTAGTTTGTAGACCATCTGTACTGGCCCTTTCTTAGCTCTAGCTGACCTTCCACAGTCTGTCACTTTCCTGCTACCTGCTTGTCCCCTATTCTCAGTGTAGAAATTTTAAAGAAGGTAGCAAGGGACATTCAGAAGGGTCTTTTGGATGCCAGTGTCTTGTGTTTACTGTTTCATGTCTTAGTTTCTGAGTAGGGGCAGATGTTGTAGGGAAGGAGTGGTAGCTAGAATGTGAACTAAGTAAGGACTTCCCTGTCTGCTTTGTTTTCCTTTCCTTGACAAACGCTTTGTGTCATCTTTCTTTGCTTCAAACTGACCTATAAGTTATATTTACTGTTTGTGGTTACTGAAGTCTTACTGTCCAGCCATGGGCCTGTACAACCAACCTCTCAGCCCAAGGGGCTGGTGATGGGGTTAAAAGGCTGCTCCCATTTCTGTATCATGATTGCCCCTTCCCTTTAAAAAAATGTATGAACTCACAGTGCTTTCCTATGAATAAATCATGGATCACAGAAAAGATCATTTTTCTAAAAGCAGAAATTACATTCTCTTAATAAATGGAGCCCTCTCTCCTTGCCATGTTGCCTGGCTGGGACATATTGCTGGTTGGGCCTATAACACAGTGGGTTCCTGAGGAGATGTGGATGAGAGAGGAGGGATTTTCTTCCACACCAGACTTTTTTCCGGTTCTTACAGAGACCTCCAGGCCTTGTCTCAGGAAACAGGTAAGAAGACACACTAAGAGGCTGAGAAAATTTTCAGGGTCTTTCTGGAGAGAATGCAGTACAGCTCTGAGACCAGCGGGGCTTCTGGCTCCGGAGGCTTTCTTACCTTGGTAATGGCCTAATCTATGGTCTCTAACCAACCCAGCCTCTAGCTCCCACTTTTTCTGCTTTTTCCATCTTTTATGTCAATGCAGAAGGCCCCTCAACACTTCCCAGCACACTCAGATTCCATACTCCTCTCTAGTCCTTTCTGTAGGTTAGCTTGTTCTATGCCCTCCTTTAATCTATACTCCCTTCTCTTCCCAAACAGTCCGTGTGGCCCCTTGTATGTTGAGGGGTGGGGGTGGGTACCAACCCTTCCTTTCTTCTGCAAATGCCCTAGTTGTTAGGGAGTGCCACAGCACCATGCCACGCTGGGGTTGGATATCTAAGACCAACTAAGGCAGCAGTGAGTATCTTAGCATTAACTCCAATAGCACATATCCACTGGCACTTGAGCCCCATGACATAAGGGAAAAGTCCCAAGAAAAGTGCAGAGGATGAAAAGAAATGAAGATAACAGCCTTGGTCTTTCCCAAACAAAACCACATACTAGATTCCGACTGTGAGGCTTTTATTCTAGAAACAGTCGTCTATGTTTGGTGACACTTGGGGTACAATCCACTGGCTCAGTTCTGTCGAAGTAGACGTGAATGTCTATGCACAGCATCCACAAAGACCCCCACGTGTTCTGGGTCCATGTCAGGGTAAAGTCCATGGCCCAGGTTGGCGATGTAGCGCTGTGGCCCAAAGTCATCCAGCATCTGCTGCACCAGCCGCCTGATCTCCTCCTGGGGGATTAACAGAGCACTGGCTGCAGCAGGGCCAGCATGCCCCTGTCCTCTCTATGTTACAGTGACACATACACAAGCATGCTTCTGCTCTGTTATCCACTGTCATTGGCTCAATAAAATATGTTAGATAGCTAGAATGGGCCAGGCAGTAAGAAAAACAAAGAGGAAAACCCCTGCCCTTATAAAGCTTACACTGTGTGGAGAAGAGGGAAAAGGGGCAAACAGATAATAATAAAAATACAGTTTTTTTATATGCATGTCTCTATGGATGGACTGAGACACGGGAACCCAGGTTATTACCTCAGATGCGTACAGAGCACAGGGATCCAGGTTGCCCTGCAGGGTCACAGTCTTCCCCACGCGCTCCCTGAAAGCAGAGCCAGTGGCAGGTTCGGAAGACTGCATGTACAGCTGCTTCCCCCTTTCCACTTCAGCCCCCAAGACCACTTACCGGGCTTTCTCTGGGGCCAGAGTCCAGTCAAGCCCAACCACCTCATAGCCAGCCTGGGCCAGCTCCTCCAAGGCAAAATGGCCATCCTTAGCAAAGATGATCTGTAGGAAAAGGGCAGATCTCTGAGGCTCAAGGGCCTTGCCAGGCCTACTAATTTTTCTCAGCTGCACGTTTGCTGCCCCCCCACCCCAGTGGTCACTTCACTGCATGCAAGATTTACCCAGAAACTTCCACCAGGCCCAAGGGTTCACCATCCCCATTCTCACCATGGGCACAGGTGCCAGGCCTGCCTCCTGCAGTCCCACCTTCACCCGCTTGGCTATATCACGGATATAGGGTAGTGCAAACTTGGTGAAGAGCTGTGGACCAAGATGCCCTGCGTGGGACTCAAAGAGCTGCAATGCCTGCAATTAAAGAGTGGCAAGGGAAAATACATAAAACCCTGAATTCACACACACAATGGGCTTCAGTTTTCACCATGCAACCTCAACATCTGATCCTACCTGAGCCTATAAGCCCAGTTGTAGTAAAAACGTTTTGCCTCCTCCTGCCAACTCCTGCACTGATTGATCTCCAAACATTCAGAATATCAAGTTCCTTTGCCAGTGTCAAGGTGGGCTTGGCTGTTTCAGCTATATCACTGGAAGTCAAGACCCCCTCCTATCTGGCATTAAGACCCCTGCCCTCTCTGTCCTGACTGCCTTAAACCCCAGTCTACTCATCTCTCCCTGAGCACTGACCTGAGCACCAGCAGCCACTTGTCCCACTAGATATGGTACCAGAATATCAGTGAGGATGTGAAGTAGCTGGTGACTGGCCTGAGGTCTCTGGTAGAGCCAGCGCTTGGCCTGAGCCATGGTGCTGGAGGGGCCACCTTCAATCATGTACGTCATCAGGGTCCACTGCAGAAGTATGCCAAGAGGATGTCACAGGTACAGAAGCCACATTGACATTCCCCTCCTTCTGCCAACAGTCTTGCCAAAAGTGATTCCTCTCTGTCTGAACCCCTGCCCTATCCCACATTACCGGGGCCCCAGCAAAACCAATCAGTGGCACACGTCCATCCAGCCGCTGCCGGGTAAGGGTGATGGCTTGAAACACATAGTCCAGGTCAGAGGCCGCCACTGCAGGATCTCGTAGGTGTTCCAGGTCCCGTTCTTCCCTTAGTGGTGATGGGAAGGTGGGTCCTTTGCCAGGCACCATGGTCACTTCCATGCCCAGTGCCTGGAGGAGTAGAAAACACTGAGTTCTCACGCTGGGATTCCAAGAGGAAGGTTCTGTCCAGCCTACCCAGTTAGAAATCAGGCCAAACTCCTTATCTTCCAGCTTCAGTTTTCCCTTCTGTCTCATGAGGACATATATTCATCTTGACCCCTGAGTAGACTGCTAGAAGGATTTCCAAAGGGTCTTTCCCTCCTTTTTTATCCATTCCCAAATCAGGTTTACGCTGGTACCTGGGGTACAACAAGGATGTCGGAGAAGATGATGGCAGCATCCAGAGGGAACCGTCGCAGTGGCTGTAGGGAATAGGAAACCAGTTACTAGGTGGTAAGCTGATGGAATCAATCCTTCCCTCCTGTGTGGACCCCTCACCTGCAGAGTCAGTTCACAGCAGGTCTCAGGAGATCGGCAGGTGCTGAAAAAGTCTTGGGCAGCTCGGGTTTCCCTAAACTCTGCAGGCAGGAGAGAGAAGTCTGAATTCGGTCTTAAAGCGTTTCAGAGCCCTTCACGCCTCAAAAACGTTTCACCTTGCAGTTGTTCACTTTACACCTCGACACTGACCTGGTAAGTAGCGGCCAGCTTGACGCATGCACCAAACTGGAGTGTAGTCTGTGTCTTCCCCCCAAGCTGCTCGCAGGAACGTGTCATTCTTCAATTCCGGAAAACTCTGGGTTCTGGAGTACAGGTGAAGGGAGGGGGGTTGCGTTAGGCGAGGGGACGGGGAGGGCAGTAGAAGGCCCTGATTCTTAGGTGGAGAATTCAGCCCGAGGGAAACACTATCAGCCTCCTGCAGGCCAACTACCGAGCCCGCTGCTCCCCGCCCATTCTGGCGCCTCTGTCTATCAGATGGTGCGCAGAAGGCTCTGTGCTGGGGCCTCTTCTCTATATACAGTCTCAGTTCCCCCAACCTTAAAGCAACTGGAAAAATGAAGGTAGGATATATGCCCAAATAGTTGGGGGATCTTCGGAGAAGACCCAGTGGGCGGCTGGCTCTGGGACTGTTAAGTCCCTCAGCTTGTTACAGTCAAGGTGGAACTTACACAGCTGAAAATACCGAAAGCTACGATCATTGCTGTGGGTTAGAGAATTCTCCTAATACACCTAATTTAAGGTGCATCTCCTAAATGAAAACCTAGGGAATTGCAGGTCAGCAAAGTGGTTCCTGAAATGAAGGTCCGAGCGACTGGGGTTTGAGTTGGGAGATCTCCACGGAGAAGGCGGTATGAAAGGATAGGTTCCTAAGTTAGCATTCTCGGGTCAAGTCCGGCTGGACTTTACCGGTGTTACAAGGAACTCACCTCAACTCCTTCGACTCCATGGTAAGCGGTCTGTGAAAGTCAACACGGTCCTCACGTTAACTGGAGTATAAACCGGCCCCTAGCTCAGGCTCCGCCCCTTCCTGGAGTGAGCTAAGATCATCGCCATGTTTGACCGTCACATGATCAGACTCCAGTGACAGCTCTGGGGCTGCCCGTGTTGATGCCGGTAGGACCCCTACCATTCTTCACCATAAAGCCCGCAGTAGCGACGCAGCAACAAACGCCCAATAGGAAGAATTAACAGTAACCACATTTTTGGAGGTTGAGAATAATGTATTCTCCTAGAATAGTCTGAGAATCCCAAAAACTAGGAAGAAAAGCTCATTCTCACTCTTATTTTCTATGACAATAAAAAATGGAGTTGTTTTTGTTAGATGCTATGATGTATGACTCAAAGATTCTATGAACTAAAGATCTGAACCCTGTTCAATCCTGTGCTATCCTCACACGTCCTGACACACAAGATATAAACTTGAATCAGTATTTGAACCAAGATATGGCCTTGAGTTAAATCCACTGAATTTCAAGAACTTCTTAAGTTTGAGGTATTGAACACCAATGATCCAAGATGAGTGTGGGATCATATCAAGGATATCATCCATGAAAAAAGCAAAAAGGTCATTACAAAAATGGAGAAGTACAGAAGTCTGAAATTACTGCATATATTTCCCCAAGAAAGTGAGCTCAGGTTATCTAGTGTTTAGAAAGTTGCAATATAAACTCAAAGGTGGTTCAAATCCACTATCTGTTCCACTGTAGAAAGATGGACAATTTACTTTTCTGTGATTAACTGCTTCTGAAAATCCACTGGAGGGTCAGCTATGAGTTGGTTCTAACCAAAGGCAACGAGTTGTTGAATTGTTATTCTCTAAGAACCAGGCAGTATATTAGGTGCAATGGTGAACAATTGACTGCCATCCTAGAACTAGACTGAGGGGAAACTAGAAATCACAATGGTAAATGTTTTAAGAGGGAAAAGCTGGAAACAGCTATCTTAATTGGGGGAAGAGTGGAAGAGCAGCCTCCAAGTAGCAGTAATGACTAGGAGATCAATCTAGTAGGAGTTAGAGGTGGTGGTGGCAGTTGCTGTGTACCGTTGGAACCAACTCATAGCTGACCCTCTGGCAGGTTCAATTAATCACAGGGAGGAGATTGCCTATCCTCCCGTGGATCAGCTGATGGACTTGAACTGCATGTGCTTTGGGGATTGCAGCACAGTTTCTTGCCACTAGGGCTACCAGAGCTCCAGAAGAGTTAGAGGAGAGTCTGGAAATGGCAGCAGGGCCCAATTCATGCAGATTTATGTGCAAGGAGAGGAGGAAAAGAACTGCAAAAAAAAATATTTCTTTTTCGATAACTTCAATTATAAGAAAACTGTCAAATAATACGTGCCTAGAGGTAAGATTTCCTGACTGCTGGTGCCAAGAGTGTTGACTGTGGAGCCGAGCAAACTGAAGCTGTGAACAATCTCAATCTCTTCGTCATCCATCCAG